TCCGCGCCTGGGTCCTCCTTCCCCACATCCCCACGGTCTGCCAGCCAGACCGTGACAGGAAGAATCACTAAGAAACATAGAGGATGAACACAGACGACGCGACGAGGAGCACAGGCAGACACGCAGTCTAAACAGAATAAACTAGAAAACAATAATAGTAACACAAAGTGCTGGGTCACCGACCCAGGACGATGACATGAGTGGTGGCGAGCTGCAGCTGTAGCTGGCTGGGTGAGGCTGAAAGGAACAAGGAAGCGTTGTTAATGGAGGCACTATCTTCGTTTGTGCCCGGAAGAGGATTAACTCTGCGCTGAGATGTTAAGAGGAAACGGAATAATGTAGCCTTGTTATCGGATTTTTTCAGAACTCTCTTTCAGAACTCGTTGGAGACGGTCGACGGTCCAGGCGGAGATCTTCATGGGCAAAGAATCTTTGGGAGACCTCACCGGAGCGTGGGAATGGCGGCGCGATCTCGGAGTTGAACGCTGAGATCGATCGTGTTTCCAGGAAGCTCCACGGGGCTGGAGATGCGCTTCAGGGTGATCCGGTGTGGAGCTCTGCCGAGAACTATTACTGGGAGGAGATCGGAGGTTGTAGTTTTGAGGGGAAGGGGAGCGACTGGAGCCGCTGTATTGTTGAATGGAGCGGAGAGAGGAGTTCCGGGGAATGCGAATGGCAGACCTGACGTCTGCGCGGCAAGAGCGGCTGCTGGAAGGCGCGCTTGTAATTGGGCACTCCGCGGCACGTCCACTAGGAAGATCGGTTTGCAGATCCCAAACTGCCAGGGGAAAATCAGGCGGAGAAATAGTGTGGTGCGATGGGCTGAGCGACGGGGAATCCATGGTGATGAGCCGAAGGGTGAGTAGGAATCAAGCTCTTAGAATCTGCGAGGCGTCTGGCGACAAGGGGTGTTCGCATTAAAAAATGAGAACAGCGGGTATTGGAGAAGGGGGGTTTTTATGGCCTGAGGCCGGAGGGGGCGTGAAGGAGGAGTGGTTCC